TGTGAATCTCTCCTGATCAATGCTTCCTCCACTGTTGGCTCACATGTGAATCTCTCCTGATGAGAAGTCCATGGTCACTTGAGTCATTTTTCTCCTGTGTGTTTCTCTGGCTTTCAAGATTTTTTTTTTTCTTTATCATCTTTGGTTTTCACCAGTTTGATGTGTAAAGGTCTGACTTTCTCTTAATGCATGTTGTTTGGGGTTTTCTGAGCTTTTTAAATCTGCAGGTGTATGTCTTTAACCATATTTGGGGGTCCGTGCACATTATTTTTTGAAATATTTCTTCTGTCCCATTTTTTCCTCTTTCTCTCCTTCTGGGAGCTCCAGTTACCCATCTGTTAGACCTTCTGGAATTGTCCCACAGCCCTCTGAGGCTCCTTAACATTCTTTTCCTCAGATAACTTTTATTTTCAATTACGTTTTGGTTGAAGGGATGTTATTGTCCTCTTCTTAATAACAACTGACAGACATTCTTCATATTCTGGAATTTCTCATATTTAAGAATGTTTACTTCTCAACTTTATAATTAAACACAAAATATTCAACTAATTGGAGAATGGAGTCCATTTACATTCAGTGTTGTCTATAAATAAGGACTTACTACTGCCACTGTGTGGCTTGTTTGTGGTTGTCTGGTAACTCCTCTCCTCTTTCCCTCCTTTGTCACTGTCATCCTTTGTGGTTAAGTGATTTTCTCTGATAGTATGTTTTAATTCATTGATTTTATTTTTAGTGTATCTATTGTAGGTTTTTGCATTATGGTTACTGTGAGGCTTACGAAAACATTTTATAGACATTTTGAAGAGATGACAACTATCATAGATCTCTGTTCACTTTTTAAATAATTTTTCTCTTTCTTTAACTTATATGGCTTCTATCAATCTCTTTAAGTTGACTACTATTTTCCTCTATTAAACCTGAACTTTTTATTTCAAGTATTGTATTTTTTCATTTGAAAATTCCATTTGGTTTTGTTTAATATTTTATATTTCCCTGCTCAGATTTTTTATGTTGTCATTCATCATAAGCATATATTCCTTTACTTCGCTGAGAACGGTTGTAATAGCTGTTTTAAGGTACTTGTCTGGTAACTCCAACAGTCTTTTCATCTCAATGTTGGCAACTAAAAACTGCCATTTCTTTTGAAGATTGGTAATATTTTTCTTGGTCTTTATATGTCAAATAATTTTTTATTTTATCCCCAAAAATAAATTTTATGTGTAGTGGCTCTGGATTCTGTTTCCCCAGAGAGAAAGTGGAAGCTTCTAAACCTAGGCGAGTGGTCTGCAGAGCAAAATCGAGGCAGGCAGACATCTTCCATCCAAGAGGGCTCTTGGCTTCACTCAGGAGAGATTCACATGAGAGCCAACAGTGGAAGAAGTGTTGATCAGGAGAGATTCATGCGAGAGCCGACAGTGGAGGAGGTGTTGATCAGGAGAGATTCAAGTGACCGTGGACTCTGATCACATTACATACAGTAGAACAATTAGTCGAGTGACTGTGGCCTTCTCATCAGAACTCATAGAGATTAGTAGATGTATTTACAATGCTGAAAAACCAAACAAACCTCTCAGGCTAAAATTTTATATCCAGAGAAAATTTCCTTCAGTAATGAAGACAATATATGTTTATTTTAAGGAAAACTAAGATAATTCATCAGCAGCAGACCTGCACTACAAAAAAAAAATGCTAAAAGAAGTTATTCAGGAAGAAGAAATAATTCCAGAGGGAAACTAGCATCTTCAGAAATGAAGAGAATCAGAATAAAAAGGTAAATATCCGGGTATATATAGAAGTGTCCAGGCATGGTGACTCACACCTGTAATCCCAGTTCTTTAAGAGGCTGAGACAAGTGGATCACTTGAGCTTAGGAATTCAAGACCATCCTGGCCAACATGGTGAAACCCCATCTCTACTAAAAATACAAAACTTAGCCAGGCATGATAGTGTGCACCTATAGTCGCAGCTACTCGGGAGGCTGAGGTTGGAGAATCACTTCAACCTGGGAGGCACAGGTTGCACTGAGCCAAGATCACACCACTGCACTCAAGCCTGGGCAACAGAGCAAGACTCTGTCTCAAAAAACCAGTGTGTGTGTGTGTGTGTGTGTGTGTGTGTGTGTGTATTTTTATTAATTTCTTTAAAAACATGTCTTTTTAAGTTAAAAATTAGAGGATATATGTTGTAATACGTATGACAACTACAACATAATGGACAGTGAGAGGATAAATGGAACATACAGGTGCAAGACTTCTACATTATGTGTGAAGTGGTAAAGTCTTACCCCTAAGTAGATTGTGAAAAATTGAGAATATATATTATAATCCTCAACACCACTACTAAAAAATGAATGCAAAGAGAAACAGTTTAAAAATCAATAGATAAATTAAAATAAAAACATTTAAAATATGTAAATAATCTTAAAGAAAGCATCAAAGAGGGACTAGAGGAACAAAAAATGTGAGACACAACCAGAAAACACATAATGAAAATATAGATATAAATCCAAAAATAGTATTCATATTAAATATTTTTGGAGTAAACATATCAGTTAAAAGTCAAAAATTATCAGGATAAAAGAAAGCAAAACCTAGACTTCTCCTTCCAGACACGATAGACATCCTTCTCCATATTCTGCTCCATAAGTACAAATAAAAACATTATATATAAAACAAACATAAGAAAACTCCAAAGGTGAAGAAAAGACAGGCTGGTTAGAGACATCAGGACCCACAGAAGAATATAGACGTGAGTTCCGTGGGTTTTGTTTTCCTTTTCTTATATCCTAGACTTGAAGCTGAGGAAGCAACCTGGAAATGCCAATAGGCCTACCTAAAAAATCCCAAATAAAAGCAATAGAATCAAATTAGAAATCAATAACAGAAAGATAACAAGAGTCCAAATGCTTGAAAACTAAACAATACACTTCTAAAGAATCCATGGGTGACAGAGGTAGTCAAAGAAAATCAGTACACTAAACCGAATGCCAATAAAAATATAAATAAAAATTTAAGTGATATAGCTAAAGCAGTACTGACAGGGAAATTTATAATACTAAATGCCTATGTTAGCAAAGAGAAAAGTTTCAAATGAATAATCTAAGCTCCCACCTCCAGAGCCTAGAAGAAGAAGAGCAAAATAATATTTTACCCAAAATAGCAGAAGGAAGAAAATAACAAGGATAAGAGGAGAAAGCCACAAAGTTGAAAAAAAGAAAAACAAAAGGGAAATGTAAGGAAGCAGAGAATTTTTTTCTTTAAAAATATCAATACAATAGATGCACCTGTAGCAAGACTGACCAAAAAGAGAGAAGGCATAAATTATTAATATTAGAAATAAACAGGGGCTGTCACTAAAGACCCTGTAGACACCAAAGGATATTAAAGGAATACTGCAAACAATTCTATGTAAATATGACCACTTAGATGAAATCGACCAATTCATTTTAAAAAAATACCCACAACAATCCAATATGAAATGAAATAGATCATTTGAACATTTTTACAGCTATTTAGAAAATTGAATTTGTAATTTAAATATTGCCAAAAAAGAAATCTCCAGGCCCAGATGGTTTTATTGGAGAATTCTACCAAATTTTTAAATAATTTATAATTCTATCCAATCTCCTTCAGAAAACAGAAGAGGAGGGAATACTTTCCAACTCATTTTATGAATTTAGCATTACCTTAAAACCAAAACCAGGCAAAGACAATAACAAAAAAAGAAAACTGGCTGGGCACAGTGGCTCATGCCTATAATCCCAGCACTTTGGGAGACCAAGGTAGGTGGGTCACAAAGTCAGGAGTTCAAGACCAGCCTGGCCAGTATGGCAAAACCCCATCTCCACTAAAAATACAAAAATTAGCCAGGTGTGGTGGCATGCACCTGCAGTCCCAGCTACTCGGGAGGCTGAAGCAGAAGAATTGCTTGAACTGGGGAGGCAGAGGTTGCAGTGATCCAAGATCGTGCCACTGTACTCTAGCATGGAGACAGAGTGAGACTCTGTCTCAAAAAAAGAAAAGAAAAGAAAAAAAAAACCATAGACAAGTTAATATCGATGTACAAATCCTTAACAAAATATTACCAC